AGTGCGCAATACTATGTGATTGGACATTCTGAGTGATTCCGAGCGATTTCGGAAACGCAGAAAGAATTCCCGCTCATTTCTAGTTCGAACACTGAGATCGACTAGGGCGCAATTACTGATTAACTTTATTATCTATTACTTTACTTATTACTTTATAACTTATTACTTATAACTTATTACTTATCATATATTATTATATTATATATATAACCTGATTATTTAACTAACTTTAACTACTTTTTACTAATACTTATTTAACTGTATATATTATATATCTAACATTTATATTTTACTTATTTAACTCTATATATTGAACATTTTATATTTATTTAACTTTATATCTTGTATTTAACCTTTTGCTTTATATTATATTTAATTTTATTCATTTATAAGTATTTTAAATTTTTGAGTATATTTAATAAATTTTGGATTGAAAATGAGCGCACTTAGGAGCTCCTCAAGGTAAGGGAATTATTATCTATTTACGTATTTATGTTGGTGTATTTAGTTATTTCATTTTATTTGTTTTTTCATCGTTACCGGTTACATATTTCCGAATTCTATCCCTCCTTTTCGAATTTAAATAAAATCGTTGCTGTTTCGTACCGTTTAAATCGTTACTGTATTTGGGTAAAGTGCAGAATCCCCCACTTATTTGTTTGGCGCTTTTTACCAGAGTAAGAAGAATTGAATTTTTTGTCAATTTTCTTTGACTTTTTAAGTGAAAATAGCAGAGGCGTAGCTAGGGTTTTCGGCGCCCGGGGACACAAGTGACAATTTTGCGCCCCTTTCTCTGTGCCAAGAATGGAAAAGATTTCATTCTAAAATTTCGTAACATCAATTTGGCGCCCCTGAATGCTGCGCCCGGGTACAGACATGGCCAACTACAGGAGTTGGCCATGGTACAGATGTCCCCCCTATCCCCACCCTAGCTACGCCACTGGAAAATAGGTCGATGTGTACATCGATAAAGCCAAAGGAGTGGGCAATGCCACTTTTGTGCAATTCTGGGATTTTTTTTTAAGTGCAAATAGGTCGATGTGTACATGGACACCGAGTATGTGCAGCTCTTCAAAACAAGCAGTGAATGATTCTGGACTCCCCCCCCCCAGTATCTAATAAACTCTTCTTGATATTTACTCAGATTTTTATTACAACTAAAAAGAAGAAATTTAATTAGATGTTTGGCCATCATTCCCATTTTCATTTCATTAAACATCCAAAATTATTTTGAAATGCCGTACATTTTTTGTTGTCAAATAAAATTTTTTCGAATTTAGCGATCCGCAAAAATTTGTTCGCCACTCCCAGTTTTCAGTGTTTCTTTGTATTCATGGAAACCTGATTAATTCTGAAGTGGTTTAAATTTTGTAAAAAAAACAATATAAGTTATCTTTTTTTCAATTGCATTTGAAAAAAATAATTTCAGACTTGTCTTTAACCGAACAACATGCAGCAGTAACAGAGTATTTTCAAAACGGGAAAGTGCGACTTAATGTGAAAATGGATATACATCAGCTGTCCAATGTGAAAAATTAGTGTCACGTGAATTAAGGTATAATATATTATGCCCATAGCTCATATATGTTGATTATTAAACTAAATAGAGACCGATCTATTTCTTCAAACTTCTGTCTTTTACGACTAATTAGTAGACCAGCATATTTAGAGCTTTTCTTGAAAATGACTTTTTTTGGTAAAATCCTAGTATACGGTGCAGCCGTGGCGCGATTTTGAAAATTATCGCCAACACCAAAAATGATCCAAAGAACGTCTATATACTTATACACTATATACTATGTGTGTATATAACATAATATATACTATATATAACTATATTATTTGAATGACCCATTTACTGCTCATCGTATATGTCCCGTTTTTACTGCTCATCCTAAAGTCGCCAAAAGTAGCCAAATCCCGTGGGCACCGGAAACTAGGAAACTAGGATTTTTTTTGTCAAAATGACTGTGTAGAGACGTTAGGTATTTTTTGATAGCAGGAAAGATGGAAAATGAGCAACGCCTTCGCCGGGAATCGAACCACGGACCTTTGGAATACGCGCCCATGCTAAGAAAGCAGGAGAAATATCTTATAACTGGATAGCTAGGAAATGTTGAGAAAATGGTACTGTTCCATTCAAAATAACACATATAATCAGCTTATTTAAATTAAAGTCGTATTTTTTTTTTTTTTTTTTTTTTCCCAGTAAGCTAGAGAAGTGCTGATAACAAATTCACCATATTGAGAAAGTAGTATAATATTTTTAAACAAAATGTTACTGCATATTGACCTGAAATATCAAAGAATGTTTTAAATATTATTTCTATTCGTAAATTTTCTATTTTAAAATAGATTAAGTATAATAAAATCAAAGTTTTTAGTTTTCTATAAAAAACATTTCGTAAAACATCCCATGAGATTTGGTGTTTGGTTTGATTAGCTAAAATATTTTGTCCAAAAGCATGTTTTCATTTTTTTGAGATTCATTCATTTAAGTTCTTCATTGCTTGGTCTACCAGACTGTATTTTCTTTGCTCCTGCTCTAATTTTTCTTCTGGACTCTGCCATTGATTGCACTTTAATGTTACCAGTTTTTTTAAGATTTAGTTTATTGGAGTACAAAGATAGAACTTGCTTTGGTGTTGATATTTTATCAAGATGTACATTAATTTTAGAAACGGCATTTAAGATACCTTCTGAATAATTTTCATTTGCAACTTTAACAAGTTTAGAGAAGTTTGCATTCAATTTTTTAATTTCTGAAGAAAATGCAGAATGGTTTTTCTCTGCTATAGATAAATCTTGAACATGCTTTGATGCATTCATTATCTTGTACTACATCTATGTACATCTATCATGTACCTGTAATTTTAAATGCATCTAATTGACTGTTTTGCACATGAACATTTTTGGCAAATGAGGTATCATCTGATTCAGGAATTGGTGTATTTATCATGCTTTTGAAAAATTCGGGTTATGTATACCCCATTGCCATATTATACAATTTCTTTGAAATCTTTGGGAAGCAGCTTCGGCAGATTTGTGAAATTTACATTCAGTTCCATATGTGCAGCCCAGAGATGTTTGCAGAATTTTCCTCGAGTTCCAGTAGCACAAGCGCACATTTCCATGCCTTACAAAATAGTATAAAATGTCTTTTCATTTTCAGAAGCTGACTCATAGTACATGTTTTGATCAGTGTGGTAGACATCTAAGTACTTAGCATTTGCTTTTAATTTAGAAGCCATACAAGGAGGTTTCGTGATTTGATGGTTTGTAAATTCTAGCATTATTTTCATGTAATACTTTCCATAACTAAGCATGCAAATGAAACTAAAGAACACATTGTTAAAAGCTTTACATTTTTCTAGTACAGTATCTTTAAATATCCTTATGAATGATTTAACCATATTGTTTGTAAGAAGAAAAGAAGCCCCCTTTAACAAATTACCCTTTCTCATTTTCTGTTCAAAAGCATTTCAATGAGAGCAAAGTTCTCATATTTAGTAGCAATTGAATTGGATTATGAAGAAATGTAGAATATTTTTCAGTACATGCAAGTTCATTGGGTGCTTGTAAAATATTTCTAAAGCGTAAGTAAAAGAAGTATTGTAATTGTGAAAAGTTCTGGGTATCATAATTTCCACGAAAATATCTATTTTGACCGCTATCGAAGGCAATTGAATGATGTTTCTGCATGACATTTTGTACATAAGGACAGAGGACAGCGAGAAATAGACAATCATTTATGCAGATTTTTCATTATTTAATTTCTTCAAATATAATGCAGGACTCTAACATTTTGTGGCAACAGTTTGAAAAGTGAACCGACGTTTATGAGTCCGACGCAAAATCGCAAAACGAAAACAATAGTCCTTCAGGGACAAAGCCCCTTTGGACTTCTGGAATTCAACATTCAACATCTATACTAAGGAGGATTTCACAAACAAATGATATTTTTATACCATAATTAACTTATTAAGATTTTCATTTTTGTCCCTTTAAGAAAGACAGGGAAAAGGGGTGACAATTTTTAGCCATTTAGAATTAATTTATAGATTCATTTTTAAATTCAACAGAAAGTTTCTGGAATTTTCTTAAGATCATAGGAATAAATGAAAACACAAGAAAAAACTTATCTTTAAGTAGACATCTTGAAGTGAAGGAGAACTTTAACTCTATCCTTACAACACCTGGCAAATCCACACCACAGAGACTCGAACGGCACGACAATAAATTTCATCAGCTACACCGTCCATTCTCACGCCTGCTACTGGTTTCCATAGAAGAAATTATTCCCACTGGAAGCAAGAGAACAGCTGGGACCACACAGCTGTGTGCCTAGACTCTCAGCTCCACCAAGGAAAACATAGACAGTTAAGCTAGGTATTTTAGAGAACGGCTAACTCAGGTTTTCATTTGTCTAAGGTGACAATTCCTTCTGTTTTCAAGTCGAAGTTCAGAGGACATCATCCTGACCTTTGCGGACACAGATATAGACCAAAGTCTCTGTTAATTTTAGTTATTCGCTCAACAGTTCTTTTTCCCCTCACATTTTTGCGAAAACCCGCGGACGGGGAGCATAAATGCCGCTCCCCGCCGGAAGCACTGCTCGATGACGAACTACTTTTTCTCCTTTCTACTGCTCATCCCAAGTTCGAAGTCCAAGTCTTAGTCAAAAAAGTGAGTCCAAAAATGATTCAAACTCGAATTTTCCTCGTCTCCTTCTCAAACACGGGCTCTCACAATGGCTTCATTTATCGCCCCCTTAATTTGGACAAGCTTTTGCCACATCCTGCTTACTCCCCAAATATTGCCTCAAGTGATTTTCACTTATTTCGTGCCTTACAAAATTTTTACTTGGAAAAAAAAAAAAATTCTAAACGGGATGTACACTATGAACTTTAAAGTTTTTATGCATCAGAACCGGAGTCTTTCTACAGTAATGGCATAAAAAAGCTGCCTGTAAGATGGCGAGACATTGTAGATAATGGAGGAAAATATATGATTGATTAAAAGGTTATATTGTGTTTCTTTTATATTATTTAAAAATTTACCAAAAAATGGGCACGAACTTGTAGTGTCGTGTGGCGCCAACTTGTCAGCACCTGTGGTAGTGACTGCTACTAAGTGTAAATTTACACAGACACGTAAGAAGGGTTTAAAGCCCTTTTTATTCAACTTTAAAAATAACAGCTGCGTCCACTTGACGCTCACAAACTACTCCAACCCGGCGGTTAACTGAAACAGAACATAAAACTGAACAATAATGACTGGATGAATAAAATAGCAAGATCACTATCCACGAGACTCTGAGATCTTAAACTAACCTAACCGCGTTCTAAAATACCACTGAGATTCAATGAGCTTATTAATTAACACTTTACCGACCGACCGGTAGCGGTTGGAACATACTATGCCCTTTCACCTCCCGCTCAGCCGCAGACCGTCAGCCGCAGACCGTCTGAGACACCGGCTCGGTTTCGGCCTAGACTGACGTGCGGGAATATATGTGCTTTTCTTAAACTCTGGTAAAATTGTATGCTTCGTGTTATTGTAGGGTAACAAAATTGAATAAAATCTTTTACTTTAATCATATTAGTGTTAAACAATATTTATTTTATCTATTACATTCGTTTTCAGTTTATTATTATTTACGTAAAATATACCATAATCCATATAACAATATTTGTTGACAAAAGAAGTGGTTTAATATTTTTTTTAAACTATTATAGCGCTCGAAACAGTTACCTTTGTGTAGTGGGACGTTGCAGTATTTACAAGTGAAACCTGTTCTGCTTAGTTTTTTTTTACTTGCACAAACTCTGCATTGTCGTAGGGGTTGTTTACATTGACCGCTGGTCACTATATTTACTAGTTTATGCTTTCCGAAATTTGCCAGTCTTTCGGGATCATCAAATGGGGATGTGGTTCTTGTGGGTTCGAAATTAGGTAGATCCTTACCTTGTTCTTCAGTTTCACAGTCTTCTATCAATGAAAGTGCCGTTTTGTGCAGAAAATTTTTATATGTAATCTTCTGTCCGTTCAGAGTTGTATCTACTTTAAAGGAGTTAAAAAGTGCACAATTGATGAAGAACATTACGACACGTTTCGTCCATTTTTTTGTTTTCCTAAAAATGGAGTAATAGGACAGATATTGATTTGCGTGATCTACGCCCTTCATATATTTATTATAATCTATTATTGAAATAGGCTTCTGTATGGGGCAATCTGATCTCCTGCTTCTGTTTCTAGATTCCGCCATTTGTGCAAAATGTATTGTCGATATCATGTTTACATTCCTTTTGCCATTATTCCATACTTGTAATAAAATATGACCATTTCTAAGAAATTGATGTTAGTCTGTTGAAAGCTTGACCGTTTGAAGTATTTGAGGAAGACCTCTGTTCTTTCGAATCATCCCGCACACTCGCAATTTATTTTTAAAAAAAATTTTAGCTATGTTGACACTATTATAATAATTATCTTGATATATATGGTGCCACACGTTCTTATACGGTCCAATGACCGATAATACTGTCTATTCTAATTTTTTTCCATCAGCAGCATACACACAAAAGTTGGATACGTATCCTGTACGAGCTTCAGACAGCACTCTAACCAGTATTCCATATTTTGTAATTTTTGCCGGATTATATGTTTTGATTGACAGTCTACCTCTCCACGGAATTAAACGTTCATCTAGAGACAATTGTTGATCTGGTTTATATACGTTGTTAGGTTTTCCTTGAAATAGTCAATGACAGGCTGGACCTTCAACAGCCTATGCGAATTGGGAGCAATATCGTTATTATTACAAAAATGCCAGCTTTGCATTATTTGTAAAAATCTGTTCCTGCTCATAACCTTCGAGAAGAATGGCGTTTCAATAGATGGGTCTGTAGACCAATAATTGTAGAGAATGTCCTTCTTTACTTGTCCCATGAGAATGATCAGGCCCAAACATTTCTTCATTTCAGTCACTGTGACGTCTTTCCATTTTTTTCGTTTTTGATGCAATTCTATATTTTTCCACAATTTGATAATGATATCTATTAGACCCCCTCACGAAGTGCTGAATCAGGTCACTTCCAATGAATAAATTCACAATATACATTACGCTTTCGAAGGAACTTGGCACAATTTTTACGCCAGAGCTGCCTTCGAAAAGTTCCAAAATTGTACTCTTGTCGTTCATTGACCATGTATCATTGTTGTCTTCAACATTATTATTCATGTCCTCATCTTCTGAATCACTGTATATTAATGGTACAGGACGTAGCTTTTGAATGGCTATACTACTGCTATCACTTTCGTCATCAGTACTACTTACTGAATGGCAGTCAAGACAATCTGACAGGTCATCGAGAGAAAACTCGCCGAGACTATCCTTTCCATTCATTTCTAAGGGCTAAAGCTTACAAAAAAGCACCGATTATCTGAATAAAGAATGTGAAATGCTTGCTACTTGTCAATCTAACCTAACCAAATCTAACAGAAAGATCAAAAGTCGATTAATCGACGACCAGTCGGTAAGCGCTGGGGATCAAAAGTCGATTAATCGACGACTGGTCGGTAAGCGCTGGGGAGCAAACATCGATTAATCAATGGCTGGTCGGTATGTGCTGAGAACAAAACATCGATTAATCGACGGCCGGTCGGTAAAGTGTTAAGCAGTTGAAGATTCAGCAAAAACTGCCGAGATAGGCACACAGGCCGAAATGCGCGGTTCTTAAATTTCTACCTAGCGACCTTCACGTTCGCGATTCAAGAAGCACACCTACAATCTCGTTTTTCTTCTATTTAAACTCAACTTACTTCTGCTAAAATTTGAATATACTGTGTGCTCTACTACAATTTACATACTCTAGCATTGGCAATTCTAGGGGAAAGTGAAGGCTTGACAGGAAAGATAGTTTAAACTTGAAATAAATGTTAGTTAAAATAAATATAAACCCTACAAACTTAATAACTTTATAGATTATTTCCATTTTTAAATATTTTGCTATAATATTTATTAGTTTTTAGTTATTTTAACAAAATTTTAAACAATTATTTAGCACATATTTTAGTACTAATTAAATTTAATAAATCAAAAGTATTTATATTAAATTTATATTTCACTGGATGAATCTACCTTAGATTAATATATTTAGATGAAATAAAGTAATGAAACATTGCAAAATAAATCTTATGCGGACTTCAGGTTCTTGATAGGGCAGATTTTAGTCTTTTTTCATTCTAAAAGTTATGCTGATGAACTATGAAAAAAATGCTAACGAGGTCATATTATAATGTTTCAGCAACGTCGACAAATTGCCAAGATCCAACGGCAAATATTATATGTCTTCGCAACATTGTAAAGACTTCGTAAAAGTTACCACGACCATTTTGCAACCACTTGGACCAGTTTGCAACGTCATGTGCTACTTGGGTACGAGCAATATCGAACTCTTATAATAACTGCTTTGAAATGCAAGTACTTGGAACCAGGTGATAACATCATTGCAGTTGTTTGCTTTTTCATGTGAGATGTTTGGACTTTGTTTAATCATCCTTCTAGAAATGATTTGCATTTTTGGTGGTTTTATCTTACAGGACTGTACAAGTTTCAGGATTCGTGGATAGCTTATAGATCTTAAAGCATTCTAACTAGCATGATCAGACCATGATCTTGACGGGCTTTTGGTTCAAGAATTGACCTTGCCCGATGGCAAGGTAATTCTCAAAATTGGGAATTATGGTTATGTACTCGACTTACAGGTTATCATATGGCAGAAATACAAATGGGGGCACCTATATCTATGTGAAATGTTTGATCTTCTCAAACAGCCGATTTCAATGTTTTGGAAGCGACAGTAATCAAAATTTGCATTCAAATTTCTTTTCCACTCACTAATAGCTGTTTTTGCTTGCTTGCCTCCACAATCAGCTGCACGTGGAAGGGCTATTTTTCTTGTTAGTGATTTTGACAAACTGTTAAATGTTTCAAATCACATATTCTTTGCTGGTGATCTAAATTTGTGTCTTACTGCATGGCTTTGTCTGAATAGGAACAGGAAGTTTGAATTTATGATGTCAGAGTAACCATGAGATCATAGATCAGGTGTCAGAGTAACCATGTACAGATCATAGATCAGGTGTTAGAGTAACCATGTACAGATCATAGCTCCTACCTTCCTGATTTACTACTGTGTCAGAGGGTCCACTGCAGTTCTTCATCTGGCTGCTCTCTGTAATATATATTTTCAGCATGAAATTAAAGTGGTACAAGTCTTAGGCTCTGGTTTGACAGGTGCATACAAAATTTGGAGTCTGTACTCAAGGAAGTGGTGGGATTTCTTGTGAAAACTTTGGCAAATGTCATGTGATCCCAGTATCCATGTCCAATTTTTCAGAATACAGAAACAGATAAGAACTGAAACCCAAATGCATAAAAAGGCAGAGTAGAAACATTGAGTGCCTAGCAATTGAATGCAGATCGGTTAGGCGCACTGCCACCCAATTATGCAAACAATATCGACCCATCCATGCCTTGAAATGGTCAATAATGCACAGATGGCATTTACAGACAGTGACAAATCTGAAGCTTAGCTGACAGCCTTACTATACAGTTCGCATCAAGTAACAACACCTAGTGTAGTTGTCTGATTATACAGGGAAACATACATGCAGGTGTTGAAAAATTTTTAACTCAAATTCATGCGCCTGACGTAAGGCCTACTGATCCCATGTTGGTTCTAGAATTTATTGAAAAACTGAAGTGCAAAAAGGCCCAGGCATAGATTCTATTTTGAATTGCATGATCATAAACTTTTCCATAATGTTTATAGTTTAGATTATTTTTCTTATTCTTAGGAAAAGCTACTTTCCTGATTGTTGGAAAATTGCAACAGTTGTCCCCATTCCTAAACCAGGACAAAATTTAAATGTACCGCTCTATTACAGGCTAGCTCAATTACAACTTTTTTTTTTTTAAAATTCTCGTAAATGCCTGAATGAATTCAGCTGTGATCAAAATGCGATTATTCTGGAAGTTTGGCTTTCGGTCTCAACAACACCACGGTACACCAGTTACTCCATGTAGTTGAATTCATTCACAAAGGCTTTCGTAAACAAGAGAAAACTGGAATTGTCTATCTTAACATATTCATAACATAACATAGTCAAATGCCTTTGATGTAGCCAACGCAAAAATGTGAAGGTTGGTCTTCTTTAGTTATGGTACATTTTCAAGTGATTTTCCCCGTATTTTAGGCAGCATTCTGGGTTGTTCCTTGAGTGTCGCCGAATCTTCGGCATCGGAAGCATTGCTAGGTGAATAAGTCTGTGCTGGTAGCTAGATGAATATACATTTAAACTAATATGGGAACATTAGGTATATCTGAAAAGTGAAAAAATATATATTATAAATTATTCTGTGTGAATGAAATGTTTTTAATTTTTTATATCATGAATTTTTATTTAACTGAATCAGATTCAAAAGTAAAAAAAAATTAAGAACTGCATCTGTTGCTATTAAATATCTTAACTTATTCATCAGTAACAGAGATTAACTTTAAAACATAAATATCTTATATTTTTCCGAATGAGCATGCACAACACGTTAAGGTGAAGCAACACAAAATTTCAAGACTATTGGTCCATTTGGGCTGATAAACTCATCTCTAATTTCTAAAGTTTTTCAAATTATTGATGCTAATAACTCTTTTTCTTGATCCATTGAATATTTATGTAAGAAAATAGTATATAATAATGTTATAATTTATATTGTAGTTTTCATAATTGCTGAGCAGTATTCTTTATAAATTCTTCTGTTTAAACAAATAATAACCTATATTCTGTTACTTAGGTCTACTAACCTATATTCTGTGTTACATCAACATTACCAAGTATTAAATACATACATTACTACTTCGCACATGTCCGCATGAGCAAACGCATACAAAGAATATATAAACAAACGCATTCAAAGCAGTCTGTTGGCGTATAAAAAATGTCGCCAAAGCAGAATACTAGACTAATTAAAATTATATTGTATTACTAAAATTTTAACATTTTTTTCAGAAAACAGTTATTAGAAACATACATATATATTAAGATACTTTTATTTAAATGTTATTTCAAGTATGCATATATTATATAAAATTAGAAAATCTATTTTTTATTAGAAAAAGGCAAGTAGAGTGGATAAAAAAACCTCTACATTTTATAAAATTAGGTTTTAAAACATTAGAAAAAGCTCATTTGTGAAATGTTACTCTTCCATCTTTCATATATCTGGAATTACATCCATATGCGGAGCACGAAAGTATCATTTTTGAAGTCTGAAACAATGCGCTTACACGCAAAACACTTGCTTCTCACCAATTTTCCATAGAACTGTAATGGTAAGGAAGATTCGCGGGAAATACGGTTTGGGAAATGTTCCAAATGTCACGTGGTTCTCATTCCTGTTCCCCTTCAGGGTTGCCATTTCTCTCTCTAGTACATTACAGCTCTATGGGCGTGCCAGAGCGTTTTCCCGTTCAGTCCCAACTGTCACATATTTGTGCCAGTGTCCTGGAACGTTTTAAAAATTATAATTTCTGCCACAAGATGGCACTGTATGTCCATATGGTTTCAGATACATGTACATTAGACCTTCTACTCGAAATGAGAGAAGCATGACTCGCATACACGTGTTTTTGATTATATAAACAAACGGGGAAATAAATGTTTCCGAATGGCATACTTTATGACGTCTCTTTAAACTCCCACATGGTAGTTGTTTATTGTAAGTAGAGAAGTTTTATTTTTGCTAAAGCGTTGGGTATTTTGGTTTGCAGTTCAGTTTTTAGAAAGTAATTAGATCTTGTTAGACGTGAATTCTTTCTGTTTTTACCGTTGCAATGTCGAAGCATCAAAAATGTTTAACAGAGCATGAAATAGCAGAAATGATGCAAATTATTTCAGATATTGATTTTGAAACAGATTCTGATAGTAGTGATAGTGATACTGTGATATATTCTGATCATAAAGAATCTGGTGAATCTAATGATAATGAGGACATTTCGGACATCTATATGCCGAGTACGTCGAAAGCAAGTACTTCTCCATGGTCATCCACAATAGAAAATTTATCAGAATTACCATTTAAAGCTGTTCCTGGAATTAAAGTGGATAATTCGGTTGAAAAAGAAATTGATTTCTTTAGGTAATATTTTGATGATACAATAATGAAATTAATTACTGAAGAGACTAATCTGTATCAGAGGAGCAAATATCCTGAGGATGAATCTGGAGCACCTTCTTCGAAGTATTTACCTGTTACAGTGGAAGAAATGTTTGTTTTCTTTGCTCTAACAATTTTGATGAGTATTATAAAGAAACCCACAATTATTAAATCCGCTCAGATTAACT